AACTCTGTGTTCTTTTGTATGTTTGTTTGTTTGTTCTGTCAAAAATGTAATACAACTGTTCAGTTGCCTGACACGATAAATAAATAAAAGGTTTTTCGGGCTGTATGGCCATGTTCTAGAAGTATTCTCTCATGATGTTTTGGCTGCATCTTTGGCAGGCAACCTCTGAGGATGCTTGCCACAGATGCAGGCAAAACGTCAGCAGATAATACTTCTAGAACATGGCCATACAGCCCAAAAAACCTACAACAACACAGTGATTCTGGCCATGAAAGCCTTTGACAATACATTGAAATTTGTTATGTTTTTGACATACTACCCATTTGGGTGGTGGCTGTGTCCTACATTTTTCACTCAGCTCTCTCTGTATATATGTTCGCGCGCACACACATAGAAAGAGAAGAGATGGATGCAGGTAAGAGAAATTGTGTAGTTACATAATTATTGAAATGTTTTTGTTTATATGTGCATATGCATTGTTTTGTTCATTTTTTTTGTTAAAATTGTATTAAAATGGCAAGAACTTGCATACATTTTGCATCAGTCAACCACAGATCCTTCTGCCTTCATTCCTTCAGTTAACACCGCCACCCCCTTAACACTGCAGCAACTTCTTGTAGTACATATTACTGTTGGCTCAAAAGCTTGCTGACTTACCCAATCCAGCTTCTTATGGTTATTACTGTTTTTCAGCCAAAAGCTGAAGTTAGACTCTAGATCAGTGTTTCTCAACCGTCCATGACCCCTTAATATACTTCCTCATGTTATGGTGACCCCCAACCATAACATTAGTTTCTTTGCTACTTCATAACTGTCATTTTGCTTATGTTATGAATGGTAAATATCTGATATGCAGGATGTATTTTCATTTACTGGACCAAATTTGGCACAAATACCCAATGCACCCAAATTTGAATACTGGTGGGATTGGGGGAGGGCATTGATTTTGTCCTGAGGGAGTTGTAGTTGCTGGGATTTATAGTTCACCTACAATCAAAGAGTATTCTGAACACCAAAGATGGAATTGAACCAATCTTGGAACACAGAACTCCCATGACCAACAGAAAATACTGGAAGGGCTTGACGGGTATTAACCTTGAGTTTTGGAGTTGTAAGTTCACCTACATCCAGAGAGCACTGTGGACTCAAACAATGATGGATCTGGGTCAAACTTGGCATGAATTCTCAATATGCCCAAATGTGAACACTGATGGATTTTGAGGAAAACAGATCTTGACATTTGGGAGTTGTAGTTGCTGGGATTTATAGTTCACCTACAACGAAAGAGCATTCTGAATCCTACCAACGATTGAATTGGGCCAAACTTCCCACACAGAACCCCCATGACCATCAGAAAATACTGTGTTTTCTGATGGTCTTTGGAGACCCCTCTAACACCCCCTCGCAACCCCTCCAGGGGTCCCGACCCCCAGGTTGAGAAACGCTGCTCTAGATTTTTTGGGAGGCAGGGGAAGGTACAATGTTTTACTTTATCCTCATGGTTCTCTCCCATCCCACCTGGACAATAAAGACAATTTTCACTTGTGCCTTTTTAAGAAAATTCCTACCTTCTTTCAGGATGCGTTCCACCCTCTGTCACTTTTCACCCCATTTTCCACTTAAAAGCAACTGTCAAACTTTTAATGCTATGTGTCACCAATTCTGTTTCAAATGGAGCCCATTCATTTAGACGTATCTAACTTTACCTCATCCCCTAGCAGGAAAATTAAACCCCATAGCTTGTCCCATCCAGGCCCGTAGCCAGGATTTCAATTTGGGGTGGGGGCGGGGGGCTGAGTTTTTTTCAGGGGGAGTTTCAGGGGGGGGAGTTTGGGGGGGGGCTGAGTCTGAGTGAAAGAGGGTCTAGCCTAGCAAACCTTTTGTATCATTACCCCAATACCCCCATGCATATGGGATATATTGAGTATGGTGATCAGATCATGATATGAATAAACATAACAATTTAAATAATGCACCAGTAAGGCCTTTTCGCGAACCACCATGAGAATTTCGGGGGGGCGGGCTGAAGCCCCTAAAGCCGCCCCCCCCCAGGCTACATGCCTGGTCCCATCCATAACCCCCACCAGATAAACCACTCCATTTTCCTATCTCATTAAATCCCCTGTTTTTATCCATGCATTTGGCTCAGTCTACTTTGATCAACCCATTTTTAACTTTTCATCTTACCCTATATCCGGTGTTTTATCTCACTGTGTTATTTTTCTTTCATTGTTTGTATTTTATTTGAGTTATTAGTTGATGTATGCTTTATTTTTTTTATTGTATTTGTCGGGCTTGGCCTCATTTTAGCCGGCCCGAGTCCCTGAGGGGAAATGGTGGCGGGGTATAAATAAAGTTTAATAATAATAATAATAATAATAATAATAATAATAATAGCTGGGCTCACATTTTCCCTACTGCCTATTAGGTGTCCCTACACTACTTTCTCCCTACACGGATAGTTATCAACTTCATTTATTTTAGCTGAACCTGGAATTAAAGATGTGGATTTTGTCGTGCTTTCGATTGACGACTCCTATGAAAATTGACCTGCATCATGACTTGAATTGTCATTCAATCTGATGTCCTATATTATATTGACTGATCCTGTTAATTTACTGTTTCCATGATATTTCCTATGCCGTTATACATTGTTATCCACCTTACTAAACCAGTTATCCTTTAACTAGTTCATGTAGTGATCTTTATTCCCCCCCCGCCTCCAAAATTAATCTGTTGTTATTGTTGTTCCTAGCTATTATCATTATGTTGTTTTACACTGTTTGATGCTGTATTAATTGTTTTTGCTTTGTTTTTAATTGTATTTTGCCTTGGGCTTGGGCCCCATGTAAGCCGCCCCGAATCCTTTCGGGGAGATGGAGGCGGGGTAGAAAAATAAAGTTTTTCTTCTTCTGAGTGGTAAGATCTTAGGACACCTTAGCTTTCAGCCTTCTTCCTATCACTTTAAATTTGGCTACTGGTGACTCATGAATATATTCCTCAAATCACTGGTACCATAGCGGATTCCCAAACACTATTTCTTAGACTGACTAGGACCCCTTCCACACAGCTGAATAAAACCCCACATTATCTGCTTTGAGCTGGAATACTGTATATACTCAAGTATAAGCCGACTCGAATATAAGCCGAGCACCTAATTTTACCACAAAAAACTGGGAAAATGGATTGACTCGAATATAAGCCGAGTGGGAAATGCAGCAGCTACTGGTAAATTTCAAAATAAAAATAGATACCAATAAATTATATTAATTTAGGCATCAGTAAGTTAAATGTTTTTGAATATTTACATAAAACTGTAATTTAGGATAAGACTGTCCAACTTGGATTAAACCATTATTCTAACCACCTTCAATGTAAATGTGCTTATGTATCCTACCAATACTAATAAAGTAAAATATATTTTTTTTTTGTCGTGTCAGGAGCATCCTGTTGTGAGAGAATTGGCCGTCTGCAAGGACGTTGCCCAGGGGACGCCCGGATGATTTTTGATGTTTTATCATCCTTGTGGGAGGCTTCTCTCATGTCCCCGCATGAGGAGCTGGAGCTGATAGAGGGAGCTCATCCGCCTCTCCCCGGATTCGAACCTGCGACCTGTCGGTCTTCAGTCCTGCCGGCACAGGGGTTTAACCCACTGCGCCACCGGGGGCTCCATAATAATATAATAATAATAATAATAATAATAATAATAATAATAATGATAGAGTAAAATAATGGAATGTAATAATAACAATACAGTAAAATAATAAATGTAACAATAACAATAAATAGAGTAAAATAATAAATGTAATAATAACAACAACAATAACAAAGTAAAATAATAAATAACATTGACTCGAGTATAAGCTGGAGGAGACTTTTTCAGCCTAAAAAAAGGACTGGAACACTAGGCTTATACTCGAGTATATACAGTATATGACAATGTGGACTCAGATAACCCAGTTCAAAGCAGATATTGTGGGATTTTCTGTCTTGATATTCTAAGTTATATGGCTGTGTAGAAGGGCCACTGGTGACACATGATACAACCTTTGCTACTTAACTGGCATTCAAATAATTACAATTGCCCATCAAAACCCCAACCAAGTTTATAATGATTGGAAACACTATTAAATTTAAATAGACTTGAATGAATTTACATTGTTTTTAATCAGCATTGTTCTATATTTAGTGCTAGCCAACTGAGTCATAGAATCATAGAATCAAAGTGTTGGAAGAGACCTCATGGGCCATCCAGTCCAACCCCATTCTGTGAAGAAGCAGGAATATTGCATTCAAATCACCCCTGACAGATGGCCATCCAGCCTCTGTTTAAAAGCTTCCAAAGAAGGAACCTCCACCACACTCCGGGGCAGAGAGTTCCACTGCTGAACGGTTCTCACAGTCAGGAAGTTCTTCCTCATGTTCAGATGGAATCTCCTCTCTTGTAGTTTGAAGCCATTGTTCCGTGTCATAGTCTCCAAGGAAGCAGAAAACAAGCTTGCTCCCTCCTCCCTGTGGCTTCCCCTCACATATTTATACATGGCTATCATATCTCCTCTCAGCCTTCTCTTCTTCAGGCTAAACATGCCCAGCTCAAGCCGCTCCTCATAGGGCTTGTTCTCCAGACCCTTGATCATTTTAGTCGATCATTTTACTCCTCTGGACACATTCCAGCTTGTCAATATCTCTCTTGTTCTTATATTGGAAAAAAAGGCAGGATAAAAACAATAAAGTAAATGTAATAAAATAATTGAACCTGGGACGCAGCTCACTAGGGGGACTTTAGATCAGTTTTTCCCTCTTCAGGAACAGAGAGTTACTGTGCTGCTAAGACACAACTGAGAAACGTTTAACCTTTATTCAAATAAGGCATTCTGGGAGTTGTTATCCAAAACACATGGTGGAAGGCCACTGTTCTCTGGCCCCATGCTAAAATATAGATAACACCCATGATTATCTTGAATTAGATAAAATAAAAATGCATTAAAAACACACAAACAGGCCATTTCATATAGTTTATATAGCAACTGGATTGGAACTAGTTATAGAGCTTAAAGGGAACAAAGCTTTTCTGTCTGAGCATTGCACATTCTGAGATTTTAGGTTTGGTGACCAGAACAGTAAACGTGTGCTTAATAACTTAAAGCTGTAGAAGGATAGAAAGGTAGGGACTCACTCTCAAATTATGCCCAAAACAGAATTTATATATATTTTCATTGCAGCTGCACATAATATCACCACTTACTTTCCAACACAATCCAAAGGTTTTTTTTTTCATCAATTGCTATCAGAAAATCTCCCTACTAGTGAATATGTGTAATCCTCAATATGAAGAAGAGAGGCAAAATTCATATGAGTGGCAAGGAACTTCAATATAAACATATTCAACCTTCCTCCATAACAACCGTAACATAAAGGTTACATGATTTATTTATGAAATCAGCTTGTATTACAGATTTCTTCGCACAAGTAATCTCAATGTAACTTCACATGAAAAAGCTTAAGAAATCAATCTTTACATGTTAGTAACAGGTGTAGCTGGTTTTGCTTCGTCAAGATCAGCTTCCAGCCAGCGATATTTACGATGACGCCGCAGGACTTCAATGGCTTTCTGCTCTATAGGGGTTGGGACGACACCCAAGTCTTCCAATCCAGGAAGGTTAGGGAATCTCATGTCTGTGGTGTGGAACTTAAGAGAGAAATAAGTAACAGATGATGGCATTATATAAATCAATTAAACAAAGTCATATCTTTTCCATTCAAACTACTTTATCCATTTATGATAATTAGTAACAAGATTATTTAATAGTCAAAGAGCTACTGCTAGGCATGGCCAACAGCTTGGAAATTAAGGTGAGATTTGACTTCCACATCAGTAACTGAGTTGCTACCATGCCACATTATTATTTACTGTTTGCCCTATGCCTTAGAAACGGAGACCTGGGCTCCCCTGGAATTACAGAAAGCAAACAGAAATACATAAAAGCGCATGTTTAACTTCCATTCTTTAACCTTTACAGCAGACCACTGACAACTGTGAGGGGAGCTGGTGACCATCCACACCCTATGAGAAGCATCAGCATGTTTCTATGTATTGGAAGTATTACCATTTGGGCTGATTTATGCCCCACATGGCTTAGTGCAGGGGTCCACAAACTGTTTAAATAGAGGGCCAGGTCACAGTCCCTCAAACTGTTGGAAGGCCAGATTATAATTTGAAAAATAGCATGAATGAATGCCTATGCACACTGCACATATCTTATTTGTAGTGCAAAAAACACTTAAAAACAATACAATAATTAAAATGAAGAACAATCTTAACAAAAATAAACGTATTAATCTTTCAATGGGAAGTATGGGCCTGCTTTTGGCTCATGAGATAGGATTGTTGTTGTTGTTGTTGTTGTTGTTGTTGTTGTGTGCTTTCAAGTCGTTTCAGATTTAAGTTGACCCTGAGTGAGGGCCGAGTAAATGACCTTGGAGGGTCATACCCAGCCCTCGAGCCTTAATTTGAGGACCCCTGGCTTAGTGGATCTGGATTAACTTCGCAAACATACCCTTTTATTAGTCAACTTCAAATCACTACAAAATCCACCCCATTTTGGGTGGGGAAATAGCACATGATCTTTAAAATTATAATACCTATAATGTGATGCTTGCTTGTGACAAAAATTGGAATGGACAGGGTGTATACCTGTAACTGTATTTCTTGGAGTGGTCCTCTCTGAAGTCACTCACACGAGTTTATTGCAACTGCATAGGCTCAAACAGAAAACTTTCCCAAGCTCTAGCTATTGAATTTTCGCAGCAACCTCACTCACTCCTCCGGAGGCATAAAAGGTGCCCGCAGCTGCCAGATCCAGGGCCGTAGCCAGAATTTTTTTTGGGAGTTGAAATTTTCGGGAGGGGGGAGGGGGTTTGAAAATTTCGCAGGGGGGGGTTGAAACCTGCCTCCTAGCTCATGCTGAAGCAAAGAGCACAGCAGGGGGCAGAGCAGCCTTCAATAGCCTGCAGCTCTGCCCCTGTCAACCACCTCCATGAAGTCTGGCCTCCTTAATGAGAGCATTCAACATTCCCCTCCGCAACTTGGTTGCTTCACTACATCGGCTATTGCTGCAAGTAATGACAGTGTGAATAAATTGTAAATATTTGCTTGAGATAGTGCTTGCAGTTCTGGAGGGATTTTTTTTTGCATCTCATAGACTTAGCATGGGGATTTGGTTAACCTGTTAAAATTCACGAGTAAACCAGTTTGTTTTTAACCTGAAAAATTTTGGGGGGGAGGGTTGAACCCCTAACACCCCCCCCCCCCGCCCTGGCTACAGGCCTGGCCAGGTCACAGCTGTAGCTGGAATGGAGGTGGTTGGTATAGAAGAGGGGATGAATGGGCGGAGCTGTATGACTTCACAGATGATCACTCAAAGAAACACAGTTAGAGGTATGCAACCTGTCATTCTTCTTCATGGCTTCTGAATCACACACATGGAGACTAATAAGCTAAGGTACATGAAGGCGGGAATATGCCACACCTCAGTACCAGACATGGTGCAAACAAGTAATATTTATTTTAAACTTATGACAGAAAGAAAACCTAATAAACATCTGTAGTACTGTCATGCAGTTTAAACATGTCAGCAAGATGGTCCGCTAGTGCTCACGGGATGTGTTCAGATGATATAAAAATAAACACATAACTTCCTGTTTTTATTTTTGGCATGGCACTGGGGATGTTCGGGATCGGGATCTCAAAGAAAAAAAAATCCCTGGGGCAATCCTAGGATAATAACAAATTGGAAGGAAGACTATGAATTACATGGAACAGTGCCTGGGCACAAAAACATCAAAGTGATTGCAAGTGATGCACCTATCATAATACAACATGAACTGTAAACCGATTATAATAAACTCAGTAAAGTACTGTATTGGTACTGTATTTTAATATTTTAATATAAAATACTGTGAAAATCATTCTGATATTTTAAGAGGCTGTGCTTTTATTTTGTTCGTCCATTTTGTTGTTCTATCTATTTATGCACACAAAAGAAAAAAGGTGTCCTGCAATTCTGCACCTACCCGATCAACTTTGTCCCTTGTTGTCCAAGGCTCAAATGGATTTGTCTCAAAAAATCTTGCAAGTAAACTACAAATCGAAATATCACAAAAAGAAGGTGATTTTGTTGCTTATATGGACATATACAACATTTAAATTGTAGTATACTCTTTTATCTTAAATTTTATTAAGTTTCAGAGTCTGTGACCACTCACTGTTCTTTAACATAGCAATGCTACTAAAATGAAAACTTGAGTCACAAAAGTAGACAACTGAATTTCTCAAATTGATACACACACACAAACAGAATGACCAGCCAGGTGTATTGTATGAGATTTGAAACAAATGGAGAAAGAGAAGGAACAACTTGCGAGCAGAATTTTACAATTTTCTTGATAATATTCATTCCTCAAAATTCCACCTTAATCTGAGGCATTTCTCAAAATGTATTAGCCAAAAATAGATTAACGTTTTCCCCAAAATATTTTTGTGACTTAAAAAAAAAACCATATTAAGGGCTGCTATTGAAAATTAAAAATAAACAGATGTTTTGGAACATCTTTTTACCTACCATCATCCTAACCTTATGTTGAAAAAAAAAACCCCCCGTTATCTCCTTATGATCAGAAAGAAACGCTTGAGTCTGGTCTCCACTCCTAATCTCACAGGACATCTAGAAACGGACTTGAGGCCAAGTATCATCTGAATAGAGTCAATGGAATTGGAAGTTTCTTATGATTTTTTTGAAATAAGATAGGAAATGCTTCCCTATTTATTTACATTAAAGATTCATTTCTACATCACTGGACTGGAAATAGAAGTCACTTTAAATCCATTGTTATTAGAATATCCTTTCTATAAAGGAAAAAATATTGACAAAAAATTATATATAGGATAAAAGGCAAGGTTTTTGAAATGGATTAAATCCCGAAGAAACACACTGCAAAGGAACTCCCACTGATATAGTGAGTCAGAATCAGAGTGCCTACAAGACAAGTAACATTTTTTGTAGTCAGTAGAAACAAGTTCTGAGAGGTGATGTGATAGCTATCTTTAAACATTTAAAGGGATTTTATATAAAACACGGAGCAAGGTTTTTTCCTGTTGAGACCAGAACATGAACCAATGGATGCAAATTTTAAGAAATAACTTCCAGTGAAACAGTAGGAAGAACTTTTTTTTTACTGCAAAAGCTGTCTGACAGTGGAATACATAGGACCATGGAGAATCGTGGATTCTTCCTCTTTGGAGATCTTTAAAGAGATGAGCATATTTCAGGAGAGCTTTAAAAGTGCATTTCTGCATGGTAGAAATGCACTGGTCTCTTTCAACTCTATGATTCTAGGACGGCCTAACCTGCTTAAAAATGCAAATATTTACATACGAAAGACAGACATGCAAGCACTTGTACAAGAAATTAAATGGTCATCATGTATAATTTGATCCTAAAAGGCAACCATTTGTCAATTAAGAGGAGTTTAGACTTACTGATATATAGGACGAGGCAATGGATACGGGAGGTAAGCTCTGTGGAGCACTGCATATAGATACTCTACCAAGTCATAAAGGAGGTATCTGTGAGGGCTACAGAAAAACAAAATAAAGCAACGATAAGTAACAAAGCATGGAAAGCTTTATTTTAAAGTCAATCCCACATAAAGGATCCAAAAATGTAAAACCACCTAAACTTTTATGAAATTACGTAATCTTATTCTAAATCTTACTTGCATTCTCACATTTGAACGTGAAATCCTTGACCAACTTTAAGAAAGATTGAGACTTATTTACTACCTTTTTACATTAAGAGTGACAGCGATATATTATGGGTGTAAAACAGCAAAGAAGTAAAAATCATCAGGAACAGAGTGTGAGGCTTGTTAAGAAAAACTATTTGTTTTGTGGATTCTATGATTTTATGTATTTTGTCTAGTGTTTTTTTTGGAGATGTGGCAAAATTCTTCCTGGGACATCTATACAGAGGACAAGCACTGTTGCACTTTTTGCTGTTCTGCATCATTACTGATGCTACAACAAACATCAAACTGATTATGTAGCTTCCAGACTTCCAGAATGATTCCTTGTCCTTCTACTTCTTTCCTCAAAGTGCCTACCTTCTCTGTTTAGTAAGTGACTTCTCCTCAGGGACACCCTGTGTGATTCTCCTGCAAGATAGTTTAATCTGCTCGGTCTATGCAAACTCTTCCTTCCTAATATGTTGGAGTGTTGATACATGGCCCTCAAGGCACTGGGTCTTCTCTTCCAAGAGGGCCACTAACTTGAACTTGTTGAGTAAGAACACAAGCATTCCACAGGTGTATTGTCGAAGGCTTTCATGGCTGGAATCACTCAGTTCTTGTGGGTTTTTTCAGGCTATATGGCCATGTTCTAGAGGCATTCCACAGGTGACTGCATGGGCTCCCTCAGCATCCATTTTAATCAGAATTAAGTAGAGAATGGAACAGAAATTGGAGCTTTCCCCCACTAAACGCCCATGCAAACATCTCTATCTACCTTGCTCTAGGAACTGATGCTGTAGAGCAGTGGTTGTCAAACTGTGCTCCTTCGGATGTTTTGATTTAGCTCCCACAATTCCTAACAGCTGGTAAGCTGAAGTCCAAAATACCTAGAGGAGCACAAAGACTGCTGTAGAGAGCTACTGGCACTTAGCTCCTCCTCCAATTTGAAGGCAGGTTCATGAATTAATTTGTAATTGATATTTTAATCTGAACCAATAGCACTCTTTCTTTCAGTTAGTATGTTGTGCTCCCATTTGCTATCAGAGGACTTTGCTTGCATTGGCAAGAATGCTGTTCGATACTTTTCTGTTGTTCTTTATCTCTGTCTACATAGTTACAGACAGAATAGCATATCAGGATTCCATAGGTCTTGGCATGAAGATCCCAATAGAGGGGACATCTGCTGTATCATGGGATATAATTATTATATAGTCAGTGTAAGTATGCTTATTGCTAGATATATAACAATGTAGAAGCCAAATCTAAGATGTGAATTAGTGTTGTTGGACTGTGAGAACAACGGAAGAAACCTGCTTGCACCTGGACTGATGAGCAGTAGGAAGTTTAGGAAGGGAAACTGTGGAGATATGATCATAAGGTCATTTCCAAGGGAACACAATATGAATGCCATGATAACTGACAATATCCTATTAGAGCTATAAAACGCAGGCCTGCATTTTCCAGTTGCCTGGTTTGCTCCTGCAGAATTGTGGGAAATGTAGTTTAGGGTGGAGCCTTCAGAATTCTCAAAAGAGAGGTCCTTGGCTGCCCTAAACAACATTTCACAGAGTTCTGCAGGAGCAAACCAGGTGACAGGGAAACACAGACCTGCCTACCTGCGTGACCGCATTTCTGTGTACGAACCAACACGATCTCTTCGATCATCTGGAGAGGCCCTGCTCGCGCTCCCACCTGCATCGCAAGCGTGACTGGCGGGGACGAGAGCCTTCTCTGTGGTGGCCCCTCGACTCTGGAACTCACTTCCCAAGGACATCAGGCATGCCCCATCTCTGGCAGTCTTTAGGAGGAGCTTGAAAACGTGGTTATTCCAGTGTGCCTTCCCAGAATAATGAACCCTTAGCACTATGTCCTCTAAAGCACCTTATACTGATTTAGGATTGTTTGTATGTTCCCACCAACGCCCCACCTCCCTATCTTGTTCATGCCCAGCATTATTTTAAATTTTAATTACATTGGCCCAGCCATAGATTTTAAATGTGTGTTGTGCTATTGTCAATGTTTATGCTATTTGTGTTTGAGATTTATTTTAATTGCTTTGTATTGTTGTTGTTATTGCTTGTATTGATGTATTGTGGGCTCGGCCTTATGTAAGCCGCACTGAGTCCCTTGGGGAGATGGTAGCGGGGTATAAATAAAGTATTATTATTATTATTATTATTATTATTATTATTAGACCTGTGCTTTACACCTCTAATGTGATATTTTTGGCAATGTTTTCAGTATAGAGCCAATGAAGACACAGGCAGGCAAATGTAATGGTAGACACAAGAACTAGCCAACAAATATTACAGCATGCAATTTTCAAATGATGTATCTTTATAAAGCCATATAGTCAAGGCTAACCTCTTAGTCCTGACAACAAGTAGGGTACAGCTTGCTTTTGCTGTCTTTTCCAATGAAGTTTTCCTCATAAATGAGACTTCTATTTGAGAGACAGGCCAGGCACTACATATAACAGGTGCTCTGGAAATAGTTGCATGTGAGCTTAAGGCTTCTTTGCAAATTGTACTCCTCACAACTTCATCATACTCTAAGTCTCCATCACAGCTGGCCTACTTGTTCTATTAGGCTCCAACATCAGTTGCCTCTATTTGCCAGCCTTCTGTTTCCTCATGCTCACCTAGCAGTATCTTGGTGTAGTGACTGTAGAGAGTCAGCAACTTATTTTCTGCTATTTATTTATTTATTATTCAAACTTATAAATAAATGGGGCTCGGAGCGGCTTACAAGAATGGCTAAAATCGAACACAATTTTAAAACAATTTAAAACAATTTAAAAACAGCAATATAAAAAATCAAAGGCCTGTCAAAACAGGTATGTCTTACATGCCCTGCGGAAAGCTGATAAGTCCCGCAAGGCACAGGCTTCAGGTGGCAGAGTATTCCAGAGTGATGGTGCCACTGCTGTAAAGGCTCTGCATCTGGTTGCTGTTAGACGCAAGGTCTTGACACTGGGAATTTCCAATAGATCTTGGTCCTCAGAATGGAGGGATCTCTGGGGTTGGTAGGGGTGAGGAGGTCCCTCAGGTACATTGGCCCCAGATCATGCAAGGCCTTAAAGGTGAGTACCATCACTTTGAAAGTGATCCGGTGCTCAATTGGTAACCAATGCAGCTGTAGTAAGATTGGTGTTATGTGGCATCTCATCGGAATTCCCGTAAGAAGCCGAGCAGCTGCATTTTGTACCAACTTGAGCTTCCGGATCACCGACATAGGAAGGCCAATGTAGAGGGCGTTACAGTAGTCCAGTCTTGAGATGACTGTAGCCTGGATCACCGTAGCTAGGTCGTCCCTGGACAGGTAGGGGGCCAGCCGTCTAGCCTGGCGCAGATGAAAAAAAGCGGTTCTGCTAACGACCCTCTGCTGACGATGGGCCTCCATCGTCAGTAGAGGGTCCAAAAGGACTCCCAGACTCTTTACCAAATAGGTAGTGAGAATGAATTCTTCTTCTAGTACAGATCAAGCAGAAGAGGTAACTCACGCATGCAAAAAGCAAATCTCTAATACACTGTATACAATAGAGCAGTGATTTATAGGCAGAAAAACCGTGCCATAGATCGATCGGAGCAGAGAGGGGAGCATAGTCTTGGGCTTTCCATTCTTGATTTTGAGATTCAACACAAATTAGGCTTTTTAAAAAATAAATCAATCAATTGTGAAACTTTCAGTCAGTGCACATCCCTAATATTTATTTAGCATGGAATAATTTCTAAAACGTACCCAGTCAATGTGTATGTTTTTCCTTTTGCATCAGGGTCCTTAATAGCACTAATAATTGCTTTGGCAACATCAGAAACCTACACAATAAAATTCAAGAGGAAAAGATTAATATTTTAAGGTACTTTCTGAAAAGAGAAGCTAAAATATGTATGAAATGTTTTCCAGCAAGACTTACATAGATAGGTTGTTTTACAGTTTTTCTTCCAAATGCAATCAGTGGAACTCCAACAAACCAACGCATATCTGAATCAGATAAGTAAGTTATTGGAGAATAGAAATGCTGCAGATTAAAGAATACTGTCATTATTTTCTTACTGCAAAGCAAAGCACAGTAAAAACCTAAAAGTGCACCATAATGTAGATTGAGGATCAATTATGTGGAGTGCACACAGCTAAGCAATGTTCTCCTACGGCCGTCAAAAAAAAAAAATAACATAGGCAACTCCAATGAACATGTTTAATCCTTCAGCATTTTCAGGTTCACTCTCCAGATTAAAGCTACTGATTTAGGCAAATTGACACGTTATGGCTTAAAAAGAGCTTTCTAAACGGTGTGTCATGACACTTTAGTGTATTGGTTGCAGTGTGTAGGTGTGTCATGGGAACATAAGAAGAAACCTCTGAGACTATGTGAAATAAGCAATACATCGTATACTGTATTTTTAAAAAGATAAATGAAAGTTTTCCATGGGATATATTGTCTTCCCATATATTTCATTATTACAATTTATGTATGTATATCTTATAAAGAGTTGGTTTAACCTCCTGTTTGCTAGTAAAGCTGAAATATTATGTTGTAAAATGATGCATGTCTAAAAAGTGTGTCACCAACATGAAATGTTTGGAAAGCACTGGCTTAAAATGCAGAGTTAGCAAGGCAAGTTATTCTCTGCCAGCCTCAGCTCCTTTCCCAATCTCTAATATGAAGATAAACTGTATCACAAGTGGTAATAGTGACTGAGAACACAAGAACTACATTGCAAAAAGAAATGTTTGTCTCACTTGTGATACCTTCAGCGAAGGGATAAATATTGTTGCTTGTTTCACTTGCTCCATTAGGTAACCTTTTTGGTGTCTCCAGAAACGCAGTTGTTATCACAACTGAAAAAAATGCTCAGAGGAAGGAATTTGTTTTGCTTTTTTAGAACTAAAACAGAAAAAAACCCCAAATGACAGGGGAAGAACTGAAAAGAGGCTTGAGACCCCTACTCCCTCCATCTACATAATTATCTACATATATGCTCTAACCCCACACCAGTACATTCATAAGTGGATAGGATATTTGTCCTTTCGTTGCTGGAAATGAAAGTATCCCAGTTGAGACCAATGTTTTCTTTCCCAGCAGCATACCATAGATAGAACATGCTAGAACTTCCTGGATAAGGGTGAAGTCAACTGCTTCTCTAGGTATTGTAGCACCAACATGCCAAATATGGAAGGTGACACCTATATTGCTGCCCTTTAGATTTCTACAAGAGGGGCAGGTGACTAAAACTGTTGACATGGTTGCACTCCTAATTGTGTGAGCAACTTTCCCAAAACCTCATTGCAGGTTATAACACAAGCCCCGATACACCCACTAAGCACAGATGCAGATATCCTCCTCCAGTATCTATCAATTTTCAAAATAAAATTTCTCCACCAGAAAGTTTCCCACTAGAATGCTCCCAATGGGAGCCTAATTCTGCCATGTTAGGATAGGACTAGGTCTGTTTCAGGACTAGGAGAGGCAAGTTTTCAGCAAGAAATGGTTGGAAAGTTGAACTATCTCTATGAACCATCTCAAAGATTAAGATCATCTGGGGAGGTCCTGCTCTTGGTCCCATCTCCTTCACAGGGGCAGTTGGTGGGGACGAGGAACAGGGCCTTCTCAGTGGTGGCCCCTCGGCTATGGAATTTCCTCCTGAGTGAAATCAGGTCAGGCCCTCCTGACCTTCAGGAAGCAAGTAAAAACATGGATCTGGGACCAAGCTTTTGGCCAGAAGTGCCGTTCAATAAGTAAAGTAGACTTATGTGCAATAACAACCAGAACGGCCTGTGACTATGTCCTCAGATTTTAAAATTATGTTTAATGTTTTATTGTTTTTAATTTTGTTTTAATGTTCATGTCTATTTTATATTGTCAGTTGATGGCATCAAATTGCTGCTGATTGTAAGGCCGCTCTGAGTCCCCTTTGGGGTTGAGAAGGGCAAGATATAAATATAGTAAATAAATAAATAAATAAATTTTCAGGGCAGTGTGTGCTATAAAAATAATTGCTCCACAGGAGTTATGCGACAATCCTGGGATTACACACAGTCCTTAGGCCATTCTGGCATGAAAACCAACCTGGTAGACATGAAGATAGCATATTAGATATGTAATTTAAGGTGATATTCTACAAATCTAAACAGATTAACAGAGTCATAATCCCCGCCCTGTACAGAAGGTACCATTAAAATTTAAAATAAGAGCAAAAAAAAATTGTGCAGTTTTAAAACATATTGTCATACAGATTTTTATAAAAATGTTGCGACGTGGAACAGACAATTAATACCAATGTAATATAAAGAGATATTCCATTTATTTAAGAGTGTCATTAATGCTATTCATCATATGCAAGTAAATATTAATAAAGCATTTAGTACATAAGTAAATATTAATAAACATATTTCTGTGAATGTACTTACTTGCATAATGATTTAAAAACCTATCTTCTCTCCCAAACATTTCAGAAGGTTTCAAAATGATAGCATCTGGAAATTCTTCCCTTACGACTCTTTCTCCAATAGCCTGTCATCAAGTAATGACAATGTGATTTATTCTTCTACCTGTGCACAAGACACTCACTCTTTCCAAAACAAAACACATAATTCGAGTTTCTATTTTATAACACTTCATATTTAATAAATACGCTGCCTTGAGTCCCCTCTGGGGTTGAGAAAGGAAGTAAAAAAATAGAAGTAAATAAATAAATCTATATATGCCATGGCTTTTGTTTTAAAATTACACTAATATTCCTAAATGCCGAGCATTTCCTTCACCTCCCTGCTGGTAAAGAAACAAATTTAAGTTCACTCTGGACTAACTACACTACAGAGATGCCCTTCCTCGGGGGCACTATGACTGTAGGAAATATACATACAAAATCAGACAGAATGAAGTTAAATTAAAAAAAATCATTTTTATAATATAAAATAAATGACAAATTGCTAGCAATAGAATCTTGAAAAATGCAAATAATGAAGATCTTTAACAAAGCCAAACTTTAAAAAAATACCCTTCAAAATGAAACTACTATAATTAAAAGCTAGTAACAAGAATATATGTAGTCTCCATTGAAACGAGTTCATAATCAGCTTCATTGTTTATTTTAATAGACAACTAATCATATCAAAAGCCATTTAACGTTTTAAAAATACATCATAAAATATTTTGAAAGAAAGTATGTCATAAAATATGTTTAACATTTTTATGAAACTTCTCTAATGATATGGATCAGAGAAGAATGCATATCTAGAAAATGCATAAAGTTCTACATTAGTACCTTCGGTACAGGCAGTCCCCATGTTACGAACAAGCTAGATTCCAGAGGTTTGTTCATAAGCTGAATTTGTTTGTAAGTAGGTTCATTTTTTAAATAGCTACATTTTTTAAAGAGTAAGTCCAATTTTTTTTAATCCTTAGATAACACAGGGAAGGGTTAACACCTCTGTGGTATTTGTTTTGCTGTCAGTGCCTCTGTTCAGAAGATTTCACCTCACTTTCTGTCCCTGTGATAACTGGATTTTGAAAAAATTGGCAATGAAACACAAAAAGGGGCAATCCAATACCCCGGAAACATAACTACAGAATAACAGCATCTATAAACAAAAGCTGAACACATACTGATCAAACACTTACTTTATTCCTAAGGTATTTTGAAGGGCTTTTCACATCTGCATTCAGGTGGGAAACATGAATTAATTTTTCTACTCCAGCTTCCCTTGAGAGCTGGGCAATCTTTCTGGGAATATTAACAAAAGCATCTTCAAACTTGAAGTTTCTAAAAGAAGAGAAGATCAAAAATGTTTAATACTACCTATGCTCACTGCTGAATAGTTAATTCATCCCAACATGTTTTTCGAGCCCCTGGTGATGCAGTGGGTTAAACCCCTGTGCCGGCAGGACTGAAGACCGTCAGGTCACAGGTTCGAATCCAGGGAGAGGCGGATGAGCTCCCTTTATCAGCTCCAGCTCCTCATGCGGGGACATGAGAGAAGCCTCGCAAAAGCCTCGCAAAAGGATGATAAAAACATCAAATCATCCGGGCGTCTCCTGGGCAACACCAGAAGTGACTTGGAGTTTTTCAAGTCACTCCTGACATGACAATAAATAAATAAATCCCAACATAGTCATAATGGTGCAGAGTAGGGGCTAAACGCAAATACTGAGCCTCTGAAGGTAGCCATTTACAACTCACTGGACAATTTAGGAAAGTAAACCTCTCTCATTTCGTATATCTGAAATATATATACAGTTCAAGGGTTGTTGGGGGTATTTTTTGCTTGATAATGTTCATGGCAAGTGCATATTTTAAATATTAGTTTCTCAACCACCACAGGAGGTTGGGGTTGGATTATGTTTATGTAAAGACCTATCTTCTCAGGAATGTTTTCCTTTTTTGTTATCATCTTCTATTTCTCTTCACTGATTATTATAATAATTCCCCCTGTGCACAAATCATAAAACCGTTGCTTTTAGTATTCTGACTCTATTTCTGTCACATTTTTTGCTTCTCATTTGTCCTCAACTACTTGAAGAGTTTCATCTGTTATCCATTAAGGCTCCTTTTTCTTTTGGGCTGCAGACAGTGTCTTTTTGCATTCCTCTCAGATACTATTCCTAGATTCAGTCCACAGTTCTTTGGAGTCTGATCAATGAGGCTTAATGGTGCAAATCTGATTTTACATCAGCTTTACATTATACAAGGATATATTTTTAGGTTGAATTTTGGCATGATAATTGGTTTAGTGTTGTTCTTTAGCTTTACTCTAATTTATGATATCACCAATTCATTGTCTGTGCCGCAATCGGCCCCTACACGTCTCCATTTTCTGCTTTCAGCTGTGAAGTTCATTTGAATTGTATAATAATAATAATAATAATAATAATAATAATAATAATAATAATAATAATAACAACAACAACTTTATTTATACCCCGCCACCATCTCCCCAAGGGACTCGGAGCGGCTAACATGAGGCCAAGCCCAACAAAACATCAATAAACAAAAACAATAAATACAATTAATATAAATCACATATAAACAATAACCAATAAACAGTAACACACAAGGATTTAAAAACCTATGGCCGGGCCAAATGTAATAGTTTAAAAATTAACTGGTAGGATATAACTTCTATGCTAGCCATCATGTCCATATATATAGTTACCTTATTTGGTTGCATTGTTTGCCATGAATAAATTGATGGTCTTAACAATTCAATCACTTTCCTGCTTCATTTATTGATGCTAGGCCCAATTTTTCTTTGAAAATCCTATGATTCTGTTCTGTACTTCTGCATTCTAATTTTCATCAATTAAAAAGAAGTCCTATTTTGGTGTGTGATCAATTTTGTCGTGAAATCTAGCAAAGCATATTTTATGTTTTTTCCTTCTTGGAGAATAAATTCCAATAGAACCACCTTTCTGCATTAGTGGGATTGTGCGTTCTTGTGAAGCATGAGGCTATGCTGGGCAGCAGGAGAGAAATTTGCACTATTGGCAGATAATTTCTCAGAGACAACAGAAGTGGCATCACAGCTAATACTTGTTAGTGTTGCACAGAGGAGTCTTCTACTACAAAAAGTCTATGTTGAGAGAATCCTCTGAAGATGCCAGCCACAGATGCAGGCAAAATGTTAGGAGAAAATGCTGTTAGAACATGGCCATACAGCCCAGAAGCCATACAACTCCAGAAGACAGGTTTTGCAGTTTGTTCTTAAGTTGAATTTGTATGGAATTCAGAACAGGTACATTTTTAAAATTTAACTCCATCAAAAAGGCACTCTCCAGTGCACAATAGGCAATTTTCTGAGACAGCTTCCTCAGAACAGCTTCAAAGACCCAGTCAGAAGTCCGTAGAAACAAGCTAGTTAAGGGATGTCAAACTCATTTTCATTGAGGGCCACATTAACCTTATGGTTGCCTTCAAGGGGCCATTAAATCCATGGATGAAGAATCCAGGGATAAAGACAGCCAACAAATTTCTTTACATAGTGGTTAATGTTTTTTAGTTTGGGTTCTCAGATGTTATTAAATGACAACTCCCATTACTTTTTATTATTTGTCATGCAGACTGGGGACAATGGGAATTGCAACCCAACTGGGGACAATGCGAATTGCAGCTCCTGTGGCCCTGAGGCTGGGAAAAGATTAAAGGACATTTTAAAGTCAGATATCATATCTTAAAGCCTCACATCTAAATTAAAACCCCACTATCCTGTGTAAACAGAACTGCGGTCTTCCAGATGTTACTGTATCTCAGCTCCACTCATGATGCCAAATGATGAGGAATACAGGAGTTGTAGTCCAGCATCTGAAAGGCCACAAAAAATGGCATGGTGGGCCAGAATTGGCCTGCGGGCCTTGAGTTCGACACATGTGGGCCAGTTGCAAACTGTAGCTAATTTGCTAAATGACAACATATTTCTCTGTCTTCCCCTTTCTTCAAATCAGTACAGGGATCTAGTGAGGTGCAGTGGTTTGACTGTGGGGAGACCAGGCTCAAATGTCCCCTTATGCTATTGACAACCGAAGCGGAAAGCAATAGCAAACTTCCTCAGAAAAAGTCTTAACAAGAAATCACTATGATTTGGTTGTACTATATCAAAACTGATTTCTGGGTAAACAGCAACAACAAATATTTAGTATATATAGATGGATCTTAGTCTTTTCAAGAGACAATTACTTTGTTTCCCATTCTTTTCCGACAAGATTGATAACAACATTGCTGTGTTCAAGAGCTCTTCGGATAGAATCTGTGTCACGAGAATCCCATTCCTGGTAATTAAAACAGAAATGAAACATTGTGTAAACACCTTTCATAGCTATATTAAATAGAGATCATAATGAATCTTTCTATTCAGCAGATAATTATATCTAGCATATAGTTGACTGAAGTCAGAAAACCCTACCATAAAAAGAAGCTGTCCTAGGTCACCCATGGGTCGAAGGTACATGAGGTCGTACTGATCACAGCGATATGGGATGATGACTTGGGAACCAATGCGTCCTAAAAATGTTGAAGGGGTGAAATAAAAAGCAAAATTACTATATGATATTTAGGCTCATCATAGAAGCAATTTCCACTTACAAAAACACTAATAAATATATAAACTCTGTAAAACCATACCCAACAGCCAGAATTCTTTATATTATACTTTTGGCGTGGAAAGGGATCTTGTAACACTTTAGAACAGAGTTTTCCAAGCATTTCATTTTGGCAATGAACTTTTTAGACGTGCATCATTTTGAAATACATTATTCAGTTTTCTTAGCAAACCAGAGGTTACACCAGGCATTTGCAAACTTTGGCCCTCCAGGAGTTTTGGACGTTAACTCCCACAATTCCTAACAGCCTACCGGCTATTATGAATTGTGGGAGTTGAAGTCCAAAACTTCTGGCTGGTCAAAATTTGCCCATGTCTGGGTTAAACCAACCCTTTATAAGAGATACAGACACATACATAAATTCTAATGAGGAAATGCATGGGGACACGACATATCTCATGAAAACTGCCCTGAGGAGATAAGGCGGGATCTAAATAAAGTTTATTTTATTTATATTTTTAACAACATATGATTTATTACTTATTTCACAGACTCAGAGGTATCTCACTGCATTCATGTAACACACCTACAAACTGCAGGTGATACACTAACGTATCGTGACACTTAGTTTGGAAAGCTCTGGGTTAGATGGAAGTGCTGTTTTTAAAAGATACTCAGCCACAGAATTGGCAGATAATCTACTTGACTATGTATTTATGCCCCTGCCAAGAGAGCTGATCCTTTTCTACAAATCTTTCAGCTTGTAAAGGCAGTGTGATTTCAAGCTCTTATACAGTAGGTCACCATATCCATGGAGATTTACTGTGACCACATTCACATCGCTGTCACTTAGTAATGACTAAACGGCAGCCAACTGTATGACACTCACTTGTCAGGAGTATGGAAAAATTGATGATTATGGAAAGGCATTATAGGAGAGGGAACTGAGCCTTCCAAACCAAGAAAGTAATACTGAGGAGTAGTTGTCAACAAACGCTAGAACAGTGGTTCTCAACCTTGGGTCCCCAGATGTTTTTGGCCTACAACTCCCAGAAATCCCAGCCAGTTTACCAGCTGTTAGGATTTCTGAGAGTTGAAGGCCAAAAACATCTGGGGACCCCAGGCTGAGAACCACTGCACTAGAACATGGCTGAAGGAAAGGTAAACAAGTCAGTTTTGTTTACCTTACTGAGTAATTTCTCAACTATCAACATTATAAATGTATAAATTATATAAATGTGCTATATTCCTGGAAAATCTGCACATTTTCCTCTCAGCATCTTGAGTGTAAAAAATTAAGTATTTGCTAGTAATAATACAAAATTAATAAATTTTATTAAAACATTTAAGTAAGAGTTATTACACAAGTACATTACCCAGGCGATTGACAACATATCGACCCAGGAATCCTGTGGCTCCAAAGACAGTTGCCACAATGCCACTGACAGAGGATCGCCCACTCTTTCCATGGGGAATTACAGAGTAATGAACTTGGCGGTCATGGTGAAGAACAGGTGATGCTGACAGAGAAACACAATACCCTAAAACAGAAGAAAATAAAGAATATATATGAATAAACTGCTGCAGCATCTTCAACTAGGGAGAGGGATCCCAATGTATTATCACAACGGAATGAAGTTGGGTTAGTAGCGAGAATGTGCTTAAGGCCATTAAGGAGCTATATACATTGACAATTAATGCAGTTTCAAACCAGTATTGAAGAAAAGAGTTTCACAGTGCAATGATTATAAAGGAAATCCTGGAAACCGGTATGAGGCCCAGATGGCCTTTATACAAACCATAGAGAAATTATTCACAATTAGGGCTTTCTTTTGTGCACTTTGTGGAAGGTTGTTGCCTAGATGGCACAGTTTGAAGTTAGCTTCGAACTGAATTAAATAGGTAGTTCCTGAAAAAAACAATCTGACAGTTATGCTATATTTTTTAAAATGAGGATACACAAACCCAATCTTGTATTAATTGTTATTGTCTGATTCAAAGTCATTCCACAAACACTAAGGATATTATCTTATCTTTTTCAATTGTCTTTAAGACTATTCAGTTTTTTAAAAATGGCTCAAGAAGTCAAGACCAGAGAGCATCTAGCTGCAACACCTGCCCCTGTGACCTTACTTTGCCCCTATCGAGAAGGATAGCATCAGAATTGAATCCTGCAAGAATGGTGTTGCTAAAATAGTTGAAGGCTAGGTATGTTTGCTAGCGGCAATATTTGGTCTTGAATGAAATGCATTACTTTTGCTCCTACCACATCTCCCCCCCCCCCCACCATTTATGCATTGTTAGATTCCAGTATATATTCATTATAGTTATATTTGCTACCTTATTAATACTAGTAAACAGTCTTGCYCTACTGTATCACAAACTATTCTGATTTTACAAGGCATATTTAGCATGGCTCAAATGGAAATATGGCATATGGAGTCTTATGAAAATTGTCGTCATCTGACCAAACATCACACAAAGCCGTGAAAGCCGACTGCAACTGAAATTTGATAATGCCAAAACATATTACAAATGCCAAAACATATTATTTCTCGTGAATGCATGCACTTTTCATGCATACTTCCATTCAGAAACAACGACATCTGACCTGCAACTTCATTTCATATTTATTCTTCATTTCCTTTTAAAAACTTGTGTGGCCAAAATGCCAATAGGCACCCACATGAGTGATATCAGAAGTGCATACAGAGGTTTGCAAATGCATAAGAATGTGAAGGAAATGGCTGCAAATCAAGCACTACCCTGATGCATGAGAAAGGCATAAGAAAATTTTGAGAGCCTTGACGTTTACAAATAAACTGCATGGAATTTCGCTCAAAACAGTTTTACAGACAACATAATCCAGTTTAGAAGTGGATTAAAACAAACAGGTTACATGACGCAACACCTACATAAACACCCCAGGAACCGATTCGAGGCTGGGACAGCGGCCACAGTATCTGCTGACTGCGGATCGGAAACAGACCCAAAAACCACAGTATCAGCAGAAAGCCCACTGACAGAAAATGCAGATGTTTTCCCCCTTTACCAGTCCACTGAGCTGCACTGATGTGCTGCAGATGATCAAGAGTATATCTCAGTTTTGAGACTTGGATGGGATGTACTCTGATTGGCTGCAGCACATTATCTGGCTTGTTCCAGACTCTCTGGTGCGTTTTTTAATACGCTGTTTTGGGATTCAAGCATGCTGCAGAATTCATAGAGTATGTGTGTGTCTATCACTCCTTTCCACCTTTCAGGTCCTAAACTGGCACTTGGCAGCTGTGACAATCTGCTTGAGGGTGAACAAACTGAAATTGAATCCAGACAAGACAGAGGTACTCCTGGTCATTCGAAAGGCCGAACAGGGTATAGGGTTACAGCCTGTACCCGGCAGGGTTACACCCCACCCCCCGAAGACACAAGTTTGCAGCTTGGGAGTGAACCTGGATTCATCATTGAGCCTGGAACCCCAGGTTTCAGGGGTAGCCAGGGGAGCTTTTGCATAATGAAAACTTGTGCACCAGCAGCGCCCATACCTTGAGAAGTCTGACTTGGCTACGGTATCCCATGATTTTGTTTCACCTCAAATAAACTACTGCAACACGCTCTACGTTCCATTGGCTGCCGATCCACTTCTGAACTCAATTCAAAATGCTGGTTTTGACTTATAAAGCTCTATACGGTTCTGGCCCAGTTTACTTGTCCGAACGCATCTCCCACTACGTCCCGCCTCGCAGTTTAAGATCATCCGAGGAGACCCTGCTCTCGCTCCTGCCAGCGTTGCAAATACGTCTGGTGGGGACGAGAGACAGGGCCTTCTCGGCTGTAGCCGCCCACCTGTGGAACTCAGGTGGTAAGATCTGAAGTAAGATCAGCTTCATTCCTCCTGTCTTTTAGGAGGAAATTGAAGTCGTGGTTCTGGGACCAGGCTTTTGGACAGCAGACGCTTTGGATATGGAATGTGACTGGAATGGTGATATGGCAGTTAATACTGTTTTTATTGTTTTAATTAATGTTCCATTTATTTTTAAAATTCTTATATTGCTTTGTTATATTTAACTAGCTGTCCCCTGCCACGCGTTGCTGTGGCCCAGTCTGGTGATCTGGAAAATAAAGTAATGAAAAAGTGTTGGTTTCTAATATATCTAATTTCTTTCTGCTTGTGGGTAAACAGTGTTTCTTGCTGTTTCTTTGTCAGTGTTGATGTGGAGATTGTCTGTTTGCCTACTCTGGAACATGCAATATATAATTGTCCTTCTTCCAAATCTATGATACTATATCTGTGTGTGTGTGTGTGAATCATATCTATCTATCTATCTATCTATCTATCTATCTATCTATGGCTGGATGGCTCTGTCAGGAGGGCTTTGATTAGATTTTCTTGCCCTGGTGAAGGGAGTTGGACTGGATGGCCTTGAGTATTTTCTGTTGTTCATGGAGGTTCTGTGTGGGAAGTTTGCCCCAATTCTGTCGTTGGTGGGGTTCAGAATGCTCTTTGATTGTAGGTGAACTATAAATCCCAGTAACTACAACTCCCAAATGTCAAGGTCTTTTCCCCCCAAACTCCATCTGTGTTCATATTTGGGCATATGGTATTGATGCCAAGTTTGGTCCAGATCCATCATTGTTTGAGTCCACAGTGCTCTCTGGATGTAGGTGAACTACAACTCCCAAACTCAAGGTCAATGCCCACCAAACCCTTCCAGTATTCTGTTGGTCATGTGAGTTCTCTGTGCCAAGTTTGGTTCAATTCCATCATTGATGGAGTTCAGAATGCTCTTTGATTGTAGGTGAACTTTAAATTCCAGCAACTACAACTCCCAAATGACAAAATCATAATTTTTTGAGTGATGGCCACTCCTTGTGTTGTGAGATGTTTGTTGCCAAATTTGGTGTGATTTCATTCCTTGGTTCTTTTGTTTTTAAGGTACTCATTATGTACTGAGCATTTATATATATATATAGATAGAAGACTAGCTGCCCCCTGCCACGCGTTGCTGTGGTCCAGTCTGCTGATCTGGAAAATAAAGTAATGAGAAAGTGTTGGTTTCTAATATATATAATGTCTTTATGCTTGTGGGTAAACAGTATTTCTTGCTGTTTCTTTGTCAGTGTTGATGTGGGGAGTTTGGTTTGCCTACTCTGGAACACGCAACACATAATTGTTCTTCTTTAGGGGTCCCTTTCAAATCTATGATACTATATCTGTGTGCGTGAGAGTCATATCTACCTATCTATGGCTGGATGGCTCTTTGTCAGGAGGACTCTGTTTACATTTTCTTGCCCTGGTGAAGAGAGTTGGACTGGATGGCCTTAAGTATTTTCTGTTGGTCATGGGGGTTTGGTGTAGGAAATTTGCACCAATTCTGTCGTTTGTGGGAATCAGAATGCTCTTTGAACTGGATGACCTTAAGTATTTTCTGTTGGTCAAGGGGGTTCTGTGTGGTAAGTTTGCCCTGATTCTGTCATTCGTGGGGTTCAGAATGCTCTTTGATTGTAGGTGAACTATAAATCCCAGTAACTACAATCCCAAATGTCAAGGTCTATTTCCCCCAAACTCCATCTGTGTTCATATTGGGCATATGGAATATTTGTGCCAAGTTTGGTCCAGATCCATCATTGTTTGAGTCCACAGTGTTCTCTGGATGTAGATGAACTACAACTCCCAAACTCAACTCCCACCAAACCCTTCTACTGTTTTCTGTTGGTCATGGGAGTCCTGTATGCAACGTTTGGTTCAGTGCCATAATTGATGGAGTTCAGAATGCTCTTTGGTTGTAGGTTAACTATAAATCCCAGCAACTACAACTCCCAAATGACAAAATCAAATTTTTTTGAGTGAAGGACATACATTGGGTTGTTAGGTCTATGCTGTCCAAATTTGGTGTCAATTGGCCCACTGGGTTTGGAGCATCAAATTGTGCCAAATGTAAGCCGTCCTGGGTCCCCCTTCGGGGGTTGGGAAGGAGTGGGTAGAGATGCTGGAAATAAATAAATAATTCAGCTTATGGAAAACTTAGTATAGACGTTGCTACAATGCGCGTGCGAGAAGATCCTCAACACAAACACGGAAGGAAAGCCGACAAGTGAGGCGGACGGGGGCAGAGGCCGCTATAGGAGAACGCGGCTCAAAACGGGGCCAGTTCACCCAGAGGCCAAGGTGAGCTTCCCGTCGCCTCACGCGCAGCAGCCTGAGGCTTCCGGTGCGAGTGGCAAGCACCAAAAGGCTTGGGTCTCTCCCACAGGCGAGAGAGACCAGGCCGTGGGCCCTGCGACACTCACCTGCCCTTGGCGACCGAAGGCCACTCGCAGGGACGCGAAAGCAGCGAACGACGGCCGCCATCTTTCCCGGCGAGCGAGCTTTAGCTCCGCCCCTTCCTGACCACGGGCTACGGGTCCCTTGCTAGGCCAAACTAGCTCACACAAAAACACAAAGAAACCCTCTACCGAGTCACACCGTTTGGTGGAGCTGTGGGGCCGCCCCGGTTGTGGCCCTGGCAAGGTGATGTTCATACAAAGCAAGATGATGTTCCTACAAATGCTGCAAAATGCAGTTTTTCAAACTTTACATAGCAAAAGTTATTATATAGCTTTAAATTTATCCTATCTCTCACCTGGGAAGCCTGTCTGAAGGAAACAGCAGCCAGAAGAGAACTCATGTATTGTTGAAGGCTTTCATGGCTGGAATCACTGGGTTGTTGTAGGTTTTTTGGGATATATGGCCATGTTCTAGAGCAGGGGCCCGCAAACTTTTTAAACAGAGGGCCAGGTCACAGTTCCGCAAACTGTTGGAGGGCCAGATTATAATTTGAAAAAAAAAAAAACATGACTAAATTCCTATGCACACTGCACATCTATATAAATATAAATGTTCTGCGTATAACCAGTACCTTAAAAACAAAAGAACCAATGAATGAAATCACACCAAATTTGGCAACAAAACATCTCACAACAAAGGAGTGACCATCACTCAAAAATTATGATTTTGTCATTTGGTAGTTGTAGTTGCTGGGATTTATAGTTCGCCTACAATCAAAGAGCATTCTGAACTCCATCAAAGATGGAATTGAACCAAACTTGGCAAACAGAACTCTCATGACCAACAAAAAAAATACTGGAAGGGTTTGGTGAGCATTGACCTTGAGTTTTGGAGTTATAGTTCACCTCCATCCAAAAAGCACTGTACTCAAACAATGATGGATCTGAACCAAACTTGGCACAAATATCCAATATGCATAAATTTGAATACAGGTGGAGTTGGGGAAATTGATTTTGTCATTTGGGAGTTGTAGTTGCTGGGATTTATAGTTCATCTACAATCAAAGAGCATTCTGAACTCCACCAACGATGGAATTGACCAAACTTGGCACACAGTTCTCCCATGACCAACAGAAAATACTGGAAGGGTTTGGTGGGCAGCGTCCTTTGGTTTTGGAGTTGTAGTTCACCAACAACCAGAGATCACTGTGGACTCAAAGAATGATGGATCTGGACCAAACTCTATACAAATACTCAATATGTCGAAATGTGAACACTGGTGGAGTTTGGGGGAAAATAGATCTTGACATTTGGCAGTTGTAGTCACTGGGATTTATAGTTCACCTACAATCAAAGAGCATTCTGAACCCCACGAATGACAGAATCAGGGCAAACTTACCACACAGAACCCCCTTGACCAACAGAAAATACTTAAGGTCATCCAGTTCAACTCCCTTCACCAGGGCAAGAAAATGTAATCAAAGTCCTCCTGGCAAAGAGCCATCCAGCCATAGATATAGATAGATAGATATGATTCACACACAGAGAGATATAGTATCATAGATTTGAAAGGGACCCTTAAAGAAAACATGTTGCATGTTCCAGGGTGGGCAAACCAGACAATCTCCACATCAACACTGACAAAGAAACAGCAAGAAATACTGTTACCCATAAGCATAAAGAAATTACATATATTAGAAACCAACACTTTCTCATTACTTTATTTTCCAGATCACCAGACTGGACCACAGCAACGCGTGGCAGGCGACCACTAGTACACAATAAAATAAAATAACATAACAATGAGTGGGCTGCATGTGCAAGATAAAAACTAAGATACTAAGATACATATCTTATTTGTAGTGCAAAAAAACACTTAAAACAATACAATACAATAATTAAAATGAAGAACAATTTTATTATTTATTTATTTATTTATTTCTTGCATTTATTAACCGCCGCTCTCAGCCCTAGGGCGACTCGCGGCGGTGTACAGTACAAAAGACACTTACAAAAAATCAGAACAACAACTAACATCATTAATACATAACATCTTAATTACACTAAAAATCCGCTTCGTCATATTATGGAATCGTAATCAATCTCGTAGTCATAGTTCGTTCCGGTTGTCTTTACTAGTAACCTAGCACTTAGTTGAAAGCCTGCTCAAAGAGCCAAGTCTTCAGGCCCTTACGAAAGGCCATGAGGGAAGGGGCCTGTCTAACGTCAGCAGGGAGGGAGTTCCACAGCCGGGGGGCCACCACCGAGAAGGCTCGTTCTCTAGTCCCCGCCAAGCGTGCCTGTGAGGCAGGCGGGACCGAGAGAAAGGCCTCCCCGGATGATCTCAAGGACCTCGTGGGCTGATAGGCCGAGATGCGGTACTCAAGGTATTTTGGGCCGGAACCGTTTAGGGCTTTGTAGGTTAGCACCAGCACCTTGAATTGGGCCCGGTAGCTAATCGGCAGCCAGTGGAGCTGGGACAGCAGGCGTTGTATGCTCCCTGCGTCCTGCTCCTGTTAACAACATGGCTGCCGCGCGCTGGACTAGCTGAAGCTTCCGGACCGTCTTTAAGGGCAGCCCCACGTAGAGAGCGTTGCAGTAGTCAAGACGGGATGTGACCAGAGCATGTACCACCGTGGCCAAGTCAGACTTCCCAAGGTACGGTCGCAGCTGGCGCACGAGCCGAAGCTGTGCAAATGCTCCCCTGGTCACCGCTGAAACCTGGGGATCCAGGCTCAGCGATGAGTCCAGGGTCACACCCAAGCTGCGAACCTGCGCCTTCAAGGGGAGTGCGACCCCGTCCAGCACAGGCTGTAACCCTATACCCTGTTCGGCCTTACGACTGACCAGGAGTACCTCTGTCTTGTCTGGATTCAATTTCAATTTGTTCGCCCTCATCCAGACCGTCACAGCGGCCAGGCACCGGTTCAGGACTTCGACAGCCTCCTTAGTATCAGGTGGAAAGGAGTGACAGAGTTGGACATCATCTGCGTACAGATGACACCGTACCCCGAAACTCCGGATGATCTCTCCCAGCTGCTTCATGTAGATGTTAAACAGCATGGGAGATAGTATAGAGCCCTGTGGAACCCCACAAGTCAAAGGCTGTGGCGTTGAACAGGTGTCCCTCAATAACACCTTCTGGGTGCGACCCTCCAGAAATGACCGGAGCCACTGTAGAACAGTGCCCCCGAGGCCCATCTCTGCAAGACGCCCCAGAAGGATACCGTGGTCGACGGTATCGAAGGCCGCTGAGAGGTCCAGGAGCACCAACAGGGACACACTCCCCCTGTCTAGCTCCCGGCGCAGATCATCCACTAAGGCGACCAAGACCGTCTCGGTTCCATGTCCCGGTCTGAAACCAGACTGTGCCGGATCCAGATAATCCGTGTCTCTGAAGAATACCTGGAGTTGTGAGGCCACCACACTTTCCATGACTTTGCCCAAAAAGGGAAGATTGGAAACAGGCCGAAAGTTGTCCAATTTTGTGGGGTCCAGTGATGGTTTCCAACAGCGGTTTTATAATTGCTTCTTTTAAGCACGCTGGAATCTTGCCTTCCCGAAGGGAGGCATTAACCACCACCGTTACCCACTCAGCCAATCCCCCTCTGGCCTCCTTCAGAAGCCAGGATGGGCAGGGGTCTAGGATGGACGTGGTGGGCCTCATTCCTCCAAGCATCTTGTCCACATCCTCGGGTTTCACAAATTGAAAAGAATCCATCAAAATAGGACAAGCAGGTGCTCGTGTCACATCCTCAGAGACTGCATTTAACATGGTGTCCAGCCCAGAACGGATCAAAGCGACTTTGTCTGCAAAGAACCGAGCAAATGCTTCACAGCGCGTGGCCGAATTGTCAGGGCTCCCGCCTGAGGTGGCGGGAGTTAAAAGACCTCTGACAATCCGGAACAGCTCCGCCGGACGGTTCTTTGCAGACGCAATAGTGGCCGCAAAGAAAGTTTTCTTTGCGGCTTTTATTGCCGCGGCATATGCCCTTAAAAAGGACACAAACCGTGTTCGATTTGGCTCGCTTGGGTCCGAGCGCCACACGCTCTCTAGTTCCCTCTTCCTTCGCTTCATCGCTGCCAACTCCTCAGTGAACCAAGGAGATGGTTTAGCTCGGTTACTTGAGAGGGGACGTTCCGGAGCGATCATGTCAATTGCCCTGGCCATCTCCCCATTCCAGAGAGCGACCAAGGCCTCGACATGGTCACCTGCCGAGGTGGCGGGAAAGTCCCCAAGAGCCGTCAGGAATCCATTCGGATCCATAAGCCTCCTGGGGCGGACCATCTTAATGGGTCCTCCACCTTTGCGGAGGTTGGGGGGCGCAGTGAGTCTAAATCTGATCAGGAAGTGGTCAGTCCACGGCAACGGAGAGATGGACAACTCCTCCACACCGCCACCCTGCTCCCATCCCTGGCAGAAAACCAAGTCCAATGTATGTCCAGCACAGTGGGTGGGGCCAGTTATTCATTGGGACAGCCCCATGGTTGCCATGGCGGACATGAAGTCCTGAGCCGCTCCTGTGAGGGTTGTCTCGGCATGGATGTTGAAGTCCCCCAGCACAAGAAGCCGTTGGGACTCCAACGCCAGGCTCGAGACCACCCCCGCTAGCTCAGGTAGGGAGACTGTAGTGCAGCGAGGTGGACGGTACACTAACAGAATCCCTATTCTGTCCCGGTCACCCACCCTCAGGTGGACGCATTCAAAATTTGTGGTCTGCGGGATGGGGCTCCTGGTCAGATGGATGGAATCTCTATAGACCACTGCGACCCCGCCTCCCCGTCCTCCGGATCTCGGTTGGTGCTGTACGGAGAAACCTGGAGGGCAAAGCTGGGTCAGATTTACACCTCCAGCTTCATCCAACCAGGTCTCCGTAATGCACGCCAGATCTGCCCGCTCCTCCAGGATTAAGTCCTGAATCCAGGTCGTTTTTCCGTTGACAGATCTGGCGTTCAGCAGCACCACCTTCAATCCCGAGGGCCCGCTCACCTGGTTACACCAATATACCTTAGGAGACCGGTTGGGAATTGTTAATTTAGATAAACGGTCCGAATTAGGCCGAATTCGAGGTCTCCTTCTTCCGCATCTCCTCCTTCCCACCACGACCTCTATGGGGGCCCCTC